TATAACAAATATGCTGAGTCAAATCAGAATCCTAAGCTACCAGACCTATAAGCTTTCATAACAACAAGAGCACTTCTAGAAACTTTCATAACTCTACCTTCAGCTATGTATTTAACTCCACCTTCAGTTATGTATTTACACCCAATGGTCTCTAGGGTGGAAAACAAATCTCTATTAGGACACATGTGATAAGAACAACCTGAATCTAAAATCCATTCATTTTTAGACCTCGTCTTGTCATCAGTAACAAAGAAAATATTTCCATCATTCTCATCAGTTGCTACACTAGCTTCAGCGGATTAAGTAGTTTTCTCAACAAATTTTTCCTTTTGCTTTAATTTATTTTTCAATTTAAAACAATCAGCCTTAATGTGCCCCATTTTTTGACAATATCTACACTCCAAATTTCTATGTCTGGATTTATATCTAGATTTAGATCTACTACTGTCAAATTCCCTTTTATCTGTTCTCCTCCCAACAATCAGACCTTCAGCCTGATTCTCTTTACTTTCGCCAGTGATATCCCTGTCTATCTGCTCCTTAGATTTTAGTGCAGATTTAATTTCCTGATACGAAATTATTTCTTTTCCATAAATCATAGTATCACGGAAATGCTTAGAAGATTGGGGAAGAGAACACAAAAGTAATAGGGCTTTATCCTCATCATCAATTTTTGCATCTATATTCTCCAAATCCATAACCAAGGAATCAAATTTATCAAGATGTGAGAGTATAGATATACCTTTAGTCATCTGAAGCATATGCAAACTCTGCTTCAAGTAGAGACGATTCTCCACTGTCCTCTTCATATACAAGGCTTTAAGCTTGTCCAACATACTCTTAGCCGTAGTCTCCGTAGCTACCTCCCATAAAACCTCGTCAGAGAGAGCCGAAGTTGACATTTCTATCGAATTTCTCGACAACAATCTTTGTTATTGTCATCGTTTCCAAAAGATCCAGAAACCAGGCTCTGATACCAATTTGTTAGAGCTAGCCCTAGAAAAATTACCAAAGGGTAATTTTGGCAACCCAATAAAGACAATAAAGCGAAAAGATAAAAGCGACAAGAACACCATATTTACATGGTTCGGTCAATTAACCTTGACCTACATCCACGGACGAAAGAGGAGCAAATCACTACTATAAAAGAGACTATTACAAATGCCTTAAGAAGATGTTCCTAAGCCATAAAACACCCAAAAATACTAAACAAGAAAAAACCCAAAGTATAAGCCCAAACTATTTAACTGAGTGTGGACCTAAGCCCAAAGCAAACACTTAGGTTTTTCTTGTGGTGCATCTTATGGTGTATCTGACTTCAAAGCCCAAGCCCTTATTTATAGTTCCAATAGGAGATAACAAGTCTGGTTTTCCTGATGTGGGACTATGGGACTTGCCAAACTAACAAATCTCCACCTTGACATGTCTCAACAAAACTTGCTCCACCTTCTTCATAAAAGCCCCAACGGGCAATCACCAACAATGAACACCAACCAAGTCCAAGCACTGCTTGAACTTGTAAACCGGAAGAGGCTTCGTAAGCATATCAGCTGGATTGTCCTTCGTATGAATTTTCTGAACAAGGATTTTTCCCTCATCAATAGTATCACATTTGCATCCAACAATTTTCTTACCCGAAGGCGGCTTCACAAGATCCCAAATTATATTCTGATGGAGAGATTCTATTTCTTCATTCTTCGCAATCAACCACTTAGCGAAATTATCATAAGAAACTGTATCTGAGTAGGTAGTAGGCTCACCAACTTCACTTGTTTCTTCTGCAACATACAAAGCATATGCAACAAAATTTGCATATCTTTGTGGTGGTCGAATATCTCTCCGTGGTCTATCCTTGGCTATGGAATATTGCTCTTCCTTTGGATTATCTGCGTTAGTAGACTCGGGACCACCTATTGGCATTCTTTGAGTAGAAGAGTTCGACTTAAAAGAATCTGAACTACCAATCTCAAGCTCCACCTACTTCTGCGCACTGTCATTTGTACTACTAGTAGAATCTTCTTTTAAAGATAACATAGACAATTCATAAAAAGTAACATATCTACTGATTACAAATTTTGAGGATTTGGGATCAGAACACCATAATCTGTATCCTTTCATCCCAGAAGCATACCCAAGGAAAATGCATTTTTTAGCTCGAGGCTCTAATTTTCTTTCATTTACATGCATGTATGCTAGACACCCAAAAATTTTTAAATCAGAGTAATCAGCAGGAGTACCTGACCAAATTTCCTCCGGAGTTTTAAAGTTAAGTGTTGCAGAAGGAGCACGGTTGACAACGTAACAGGCCATATTAATCGCCTCTGCCCAAAAGTCCTTTGTCAACCTTGCATTTGAGATCATACACCTTGCTCTCTCCAAAAGTGTTCTGTTCATACGTTCGGCCACACCATTTTGTTGAGGCGTCATCCTAACAGTGCGATGCTGAACGATTCCTTTATTTTTGCAGAATTCATTAAAGTCATGTTCACAAAATTCCATGTCATTATCTGTTCGAAGTCGCTTAATTTGTTTACCTATTTGCTTCTCAATCAATGCCTTCCATTGTTTAAAGGTTAGAAAAATATCATTTTTATGCTTCAGAAAATAAACCCAAACTTTCCTGGAATAATCGTCAATGAAAGTCAACATATACCTGGCACCACCCTTAGACTGAACATGAGCTGGACCTCAAAGGTCTGAATGAATATAGTCAAGAGTACCTTTCGTTTTGTGAACTGCCGAAGAATTGAAGCTGACTCTTTTCTGCTTTCCAAAAATGTAGTGTTCACAAAAATCCAGTGGCCTAGTACTCTATCCACAAAGTAGACCTCTTTTGCTCAATATGCTCAAACATTTTTCGCTCATATGACTCAAACGCATATGTCATAATTTGGTGATGTCAAAATCAGACAATGATGATGACGAGACTACAACTGAGCCTGTGACAGTAGTTCCCTGCAAAATATATAAGCTACCAGACCTACAAGCTTTCATAACAACAAGAGCACTTCTAGAAACTTTTATAACTCCACCTTCAGTTGTGTATTTATACCCAAGGGCCCCTAGGGTACCTAAAGAGATGAGATTCTTTTTTAAATCAAGAACATGTCTAACATTAGTGAGCGTCCTCACAATACCATCATGCATTTTAATTCGAATTATTCCTCTACCAACAACATCACATGTTGTATTATTGCCCATCAAAACAATTCCACCATTACAAGATTCATATATGGAAAACAAATCTCTATTAGGACATATGTGATAAGAACAATCTGAATTTAAAATATATTCATTTTTAGACCTCGTCCTGTCATCAGTAGCAAAGAAAATATTTTCATCATTCTCATCAGCTAATACACTAGCTTAAGCGGATTCAATAGTTTTCTCAACAATTTTTTCCTTTTACTTTAATTTATTTTTTAATTTAAAATAATCAGCCTTAATGTGTCCCATTTTATGATAATATCTGCACTCAAAATTTCTATATCTGGATTTATATCTAGATTTAGATTTACTACTATCAAATTCACTTTTATCTGTTCTCCCCCTAACAATCAAACATTCAGCCTGATTCTCTCTACTTTCCCTAGTGATATCCCTGTCTATCTGCTCTTTAGATTTTAGTACAGATTTAATTTCCTGATATGAAATTGTTACTTTTCATAAATCATAGTATCACGGAAATGCTTAAAAGATTGGGGAAGAGAACACAAAAGTAATAGGGCTTTATCCCCATCATCAATTTTTGCATCTATATTCTCCAAATCTATAACCAAGGAATCAAATTTATTAAGATGTGAAAGTATAGATGTACCTTCAGTCATCCGAAGCATATGCAAACTCTGCTTCAAGTAGAGACGATTCTTCACTATCCTCTTCATATACAAGGCTTTAATCTTGTCCCACATGCTCTTAGCCGTAGTCTCCGTAGCTACCTCCCGTAAAGCCTCGTCAGAGAGATTTAGAATAATATTGTATCGGGCCTTTTTATCTATACCCGCAAGATCTTCCTTTGACGTACCATCTGGAATGTTCTCAACTCCCTATAGTGCCAAATCAACTCCGTTTTGAATCAGAATGACTTCAATCTTGAGTTGCCACATGCCGAAGTTGACATTTTTATCGAATTTCTCGACAACAATCTTTATTATTGTCATCGTTGCCAAAAGATCCCGAAACCAGGCTCTGATACCAGTTTGTTAGAGCTAGCCCCAGGAAATTTACCAAAGGGTAATTTTGGCAACCCAACAAAGATAATAAAGCGAAAAGATAAAAGCGACAAGAACACCATATTTACGTGGTTTGGTCAATTAACCTTGACCTACATCCACGGACGAAAGATGAGCAAATCACTACTATAAAAGAAAGAAAAAACCCAAAGCCCGAAAATACTAAACAAGAAAAAACCCAAAGTATAAGCTCAAACTATTTAATTGAGTGAGGACTTAAACCCAAAGCAAACACTTAGGTTTTTTTTATGGTGCCTCTTGTGGTGTATCTGACTTCAAAGCCCAGACCCTTATTTATAGTTCCAATAGGAGATAACAAGCCTAATTTTCCCGATGTGGGACTATGAGACTTGCCAAACTAACATTCTCATCTGCCACCTCTCCTCAACTTTCTCCTATGTTGCAACATCCTCCTCTACTGCAGCTTATTCCTCTGCTATAGCTTATTCCTCTGTGATAGCATTGCTATAGCTTTTTCTATTGCTACAGCTTTCTTCTCTATTGCAGCCGTCGTTGTCGCAGCCGCAATAATAGCAAAAGTTCCATCAATAAGTCTCAAAACTATGAGAATAAAAAATAAAAAAATTGATACTTGGATTCATCAACTAGTTCCAAAAGTTCTTGGTATTTCTATGAACAATATTGACTGACGAATTTGAAACAAATTAAAGAGAACACAACACATAAACCAAAATCAACCAGCAAATCCAAACACGAGATCAACAGAGTTTACAGATAGAAGAAGTCATGCCTACGTCCCTAAATTACCTGTGAGATAAATGGAACTTTCCCATCTTGTGAGGAGTCAGAAGAGGATCAGTGGCAGCGGCCATTTCTGCAACTGCTGAGAACTGAGATGGTGGATGCAGCACCAAAGTCAACTCCAGAGAGAGAGAGAGAGAGACGAAGACGACTGGTGGTTCTCGATAAACAATGGTTTTCTTGACGTGTCCGAGAGAGAGCAATTGCTGAGAACTGAGATGGTGGATGCAGCACCAAAGTCAACTCCAGAGAGAGAGAGAGAGAGAGAGAGACGAAGAGGCTTGGTGGTTCTCGATAAACAATGGTTTTCTTGACGTGTCCGAGAGAGAGACACGGAGAGGACTGGTGGTTCTCCATAAACAATGGTTTTCTTGACGTGTACGTTTATGATCGGACCAAACAAATCAATATGGACCGTCCGCATCTTCTTAATCGCAGCCGAACCAATGGAGTCAAAAATTTTCTAGAAGACACATTGCACCGGAGCCTGTTCGCCTTATTGGATCCACGATCCATCCCCGACTCCGCTAAAGAAACGCAAGATTTGGTATTCGGGTTTGTATATATTGGGTCGAAGGATCGGTTCATATCTGAGTACCCGAATCTCGAGAAGGATTCGGATGTGGGTTTCGGTTATCAGATCCATTTAACATCCATCCTCTTTTCTTGCTCGACGAGTCTCGAGGCATCCAACCGTAGGCTATCACATCTCCCTCAGGCATTCCGCCGAACACCTGTTCCGCGTGGAGCAAGCGGCCGCACTTGGACTAGTACCTGAGCAATCCGGTCGGAAGCGAGACTCAATGTAAAGATTTGGCAATGGATGGCACGGGCGACACTGGAAGCGTCGGGAGAGAGCAGCGGAGCAGAAGCGCGAAAGTGGCCGTGTCGGGAAGGACGCCTTCGCTGGCCATCGCGCGGTAGAGGGAGAGGAGCGAACCAGGCGGTTCCATAGGGACGAGGACGAGCGAGGCGCGAGAAGCGGACGACGCGGGGTGTGATTGGGAGAGCGCGCGGTGGTGGTCGGATTTAAACACGAAACCCGTTATGCACCGGCTAAACCCGACCCGACCGGGTCGGATTTAAACCCGAAACCCGTTATGCACTGGCTAAACCCGACCCGACCGGGTCGGATTTGCGAATCTGTCAATTGATATATGACGGATGGTTTGTGGCTTCAAACAATCTGACGGATACGTGAATCATAATCCATTGACGCTCGGGGATGGACGATTTTGATTGGTGGCCCGTCAATTAATGATCGACTTATCTTCACATGAGGACAATTCTTCTTTGTTTTGGAGCATGACAGACAGGCAGTGGTCCATGCATTGATGATTGACCAATCTAGATTGCAATTTTATCCTTTAGATGTATCTTAAATTATTTGTGTTTATCGATCCGATATGTTTATTTAAGGTGTCATGGTTCGAAATTAACCTTTATTATTATTATAGTCCATCAAATATTTTTTTTTTATGATGTTTAAATTAAAATTAAGAAAAAATATATAAGATTTTGAGGGTCTATCCTATTTAGAATCTTTTTTATAAAAAGATATTAATAACCATCGAGATTAAGTAAAAATAATTTCATAAGCTTATCGATTATTAGTCGATCATGAGGAGTCGATTGATGTTATAATTGATGTCAGGTGTCATATCGATGATCATATGAGAATTTAGATGAAATATTGTACTAATAAGACATGAAGTCATTTTTTTCTATTATTCATGTGATCCAAAAAGAGAAGAAAAATTAAATATAATCAAGAATAAAGGAAAAATACTATCCTTGTATAGATATAGACTGGAGATTAATCTAAATATATAGTAGATCACAACCTGCTCCTCATACAATGAGTGATTTTTATTGTGATTTATGTACTTGTCATGAAAACCTCATGGTCATTTACTTTGAGGCGGACCTGTAGCTGAAGCAATATCCATCCTCTCTCATCCTTTGGTCTCCTAAAGTGGCAAACTTCTTCTTCTTCTTCTTCTAGAGAGAGAGAGAGAGAGAGAGAGAGAGAGGTGTGTAATCATCTGTACCCGTATGTTAATTTTGTTGCTGTTGCAGCCAACTGCAATGATCGCTATCTCTTAGCCTTCCTCACACTGTACACGCTTCGAAGCCTTTTGTACTTTGGATGAGACGTGGCGCTGTCGAAGTGTTTCGGCATTCCGATGGATGGAACGGAAGCAACTCGAGATGTTGCCAACAGCGATCTGCTGCAAAAGTTGCAGACATTCCCTTCAGCTTTTACTTCCTTTCTGCGAGGTTTTGTTCTTCTTATTCTTTTTCCCTGTAAACAATGTATTGATCGGAAAGATAGTCCATTTCATATGACCAAAGATGTGTTTGGCTGACCCAAATTTTACTGTTTTCTGTAACATTTATTTCTTCTCTACATTTATATTTTTTCTTACTCATCCAAACGACAGTTTTGGTTTAGATGGTGTCGATTTAAAATGCAATTTTCTTTGATCTTCATTCGAACCCTATACATGAATGTCTAATAACTCAAAAAAAATGAAGTAAATAAGACATTTACTAGAGAAAATAAGACATGTGTTGATTGCATTCAAAAAAAGTAACCCATAATAGTTTGGATTAATAACAAATTAAATGGATATGATATAATGGTAACAAGAAAATATCAAAATTGGTCCAAGGAAAAAAACACAGACATAATTAAATAATATAATATAATAAACAAATAAATAAGAAAAATACAAAATAAAAACTGTAACATTATCACCCTTAGAACTAAACTTATAGTTTTAGTTAAGCTTGCATGAAGAATTTATTTTAAGAAAGTGATTTATGATTGCAGTCATTGCATTGCCATTCCTGGAAGCCTTCAAAGGACACTGGAACTCCATTTTTATGTTGTTTGCACAGCATAAAGTTGGGTTTGAATGATTTCATAGCAGCTCATATAGCCAATAAGAACAATGAGTAGGAATGGAGGAATAGTTTTGTCTGTCAATCCATCAAGGTGAGGTAGTGAACCAGTTGGTGGTGGGAAGATTACAATCCAAGGAAACCCAGTACACTACTTGACTCATTGCAGAGGGTGAAAAAGGAGGAAATGGGAGAGTGCTTGAGGTAGGTTTGAGCTGAAATCATGGCTTGTGGCAGAGAACTTCATGCTTGGGGAGAGAACACATAGCTTTCTTGATGAAAATAATTGCAAGCTTCTGCTATTCATGTCAGGGATTCACAATTTTTTTGTGGCTGGTGGAGGGATAGAACAATACATTTGAAATGATACTTGTGGTGACTAAAACCAAGTTCAACTTTGGTCTTTCTCATACATGTAAGCTCACAAATCCTTTACCCAAATGGTAAAGAGACGTTCTATCGAATGTAATGCCACTCTGGTTCTTAAGGGACTATGTGTACAGCAACATAAAGGCATTGTGGGATAAGAAATCTAATCTTACACAGATCATATGACTGAGAACATTCCTTCAGTTCCAGGAGATAAAATGATGTCTTAAGAGTCATCGTAGAATTCAGCTACTGTTCTCCACCAATGTCCATTGCTGCAAGTCTCTTCCTGCATTCTCACATGGAATCAGGGTGAGGTTGACAACTCTTTTGCAGTATGTTCAAAGGTACCTGAGACCAACTTTCAAAGATTTAAGTGAAACAGAGTCATCTATTTTGATGGCAAGCATGCAAGCAACTCACTCAAGGCAAGGACTTCAAATTAAATGGAATAGGACCTATGAGATATTGAATGATGACCTATTCTGAGCATTCTGGTCCACTGAATTTGAGACAAGGTTCTGTCTTTTTTCTGTACTTTTTGAATGCAGGACTTGAATGTGACCAAGGTCTTGTCATTTTAATTTGTCATGGGGGTGTTTT